CTGATTTTACATGAATTAGGTACTTGGTAGTATCGGCAGAACTCGGTCCCATCCTTGAGTCTGCAGGTGTTCTGACTAACTCTCTCTGTCCTGTTCATGCTGCATTTGCTGTCAGCGTCTCAGAGCGGAGATCTGCTGTTCGGTCTGGAGAGCGTTGTTTACAAGGAGCAGCTCAATGGTAACACACCCAGAGACACTGAGACACACAGAGACACCATGAGACTCTGAGACATTCAGAGACACTGAGACACACAGGAGACAGCTGTCTCCATGGTTTGGACAGGAACCAAGTCAGTGGTTTGGGCTTTATTGGCAGCAACACTGCCAGAGCTCCAGATGCTGGTTTCTGAAGCCCAAAGTCAGATTGGTGTCTCTGCTCATTCAGTCCATCAGGTCCAAAGTTTCTGGTTCTTCTGCTTCCTGCTGTCTCTCTGTTTCCAGCTTTTCTCTCTCTAATGGCTTTTCTGTTTTTAACGCTGCCAAAGTCCCAAAAGGACGTAAAAAAAACAAAAAGCACAAAAAAGTTCTAAAGAAACTGAAGCGACAGGAACAAAAAGCAGGTGAGTTCATGTTTCTCCTTAAAGAGACGCAGATCTTTTGAGAAGAGAGATCGCTTCTGGTTTTGTCCAGAGCCGACCCGGTTCCTGACCGTCTCTGCTTGTTTCAGATAAATCTCAAGAAGACAAGAAGGACACGTTCATGGAGAAACTCGCCACTCAGGTGATCAAGAACCTGCAGGTGAAGATCAGCAGCATCCACCTGCGCTATGAGGATGACGTGAGTTCTGACCCGACCCTGTCCAATTCCAGTTCTGGTTCTGTCTCCTGAAGCTCTGCTTGACTCTCAGCCTCATTCATTTCAGCTGTCAGATCCACAGCGCCCCCTATCGATGGGAGTAACACTATCAGAGCTCAGCCTGCAGGTACACGCACGTACGCACGCACACACACACACACACACACACACACACACACACACACACACACACACACACACACACACACACACCACACACACACACACACACACACACACAACTGCTGACGGTTCATGCTCTTCTACCTTCAGACCACTGATGAGAACTGGAAGCTGTGCATTCTGAATGAAGCTGCAAAGATCATCTATAAGGTGAGATGCTCCACTCAGTCTCTCCTGAACTTTATGATTGTCTTTTGTTTGTTTGTGGGCTCTAGTGTCCGTAATGTGACAGTAGGCTGACAGGTAGGGAGGAAGTAGAGAGGGGAAGACATGCAGCAAATATCGTAGGGTCCAGGAATCGAACCCGCGACAGCCGAGTCAAGGACTCAAGGCCTCCAAACATGGGTCGAGCTGTCCCCCTCTGCCACCACAGCACGCCCCAGACCTAGGCCTGTCGCGATAAACGATAAGTCAATTAATCGCACGATAAATTAAAACTATCGACCTCATTTTAATTATCGGCTATATCGTTTCTTCCTGCCTTTTTCTCTTACTGTTGATGACACTGAATGAAACTCCGCTGCTCTCCACTGACCCTCCCTTCCTTATTTCTTAGTGTAATGCCCAGCGCACGCTGCACCATCTGATGTCGCCGAGTGTCGACCCATTATCAAAACCTGAGAGACACATCAGCCGACAGAAATCTTGGCTATAACAGTTCGATCGAAACCGTGTTGTGTCCAACAATGGACACAAAATAATAAGTCCAGTTCACTAATATTGAAACCAGGAATTAATCAATTCCTTACTACAATCTTCCTGCAATGCATGTAGCTAGTGTCAGTCTGACTGAATGAAAATCATTATAACCATTTTATGTCACGTTAACAAAGAACAGCTGAAAAGTTTCCGGGTTTTCTGGTAGAAATTTCGCTCCAACTCCTCCCCTCGTTATTTATATTTTCTTTGCACAAACTGTTGAATAAACATTCATGTTGTTTCCGATGTCTGCTGAACTTCGGGTTGCATCGTGTCAGCTGTTCGGGATTACCTCCTTGTTTCCCCTCAGAAAGCAGGAGGAGAATCCGCGCTTTCTGATTGGCTACCGGTCACATTCAATAGGCTGCGTCACTCTCCCAGTCTGGATAAATCCTTGATTTAGATCAGAGCAACGATCTACCATAACACACAACGATCTACCGTAACACACAACGATCTACCATAACACACAACGATCTACCGTAACACACAACGATCTACCATAACACACAACGATCTACCGTAACACACAACGATCTACCATAACACACAACGATCTACCATAACACACAACGATCTACCACAACACACAACGATCTACCGTAACACACAACGATCTACCATAACACACAACGATCTACCATAACACACAATGATCTACCTTAACACACAACGATCTACCACAACACACAACGATCTACCGCAACACACAACGATCTACAGTAACACACAACAATCTACCATAACACACAACGATCTACCATAACACACAACGATCTACAGTAACACACAACGATCTACCTTAACACACAACGATCTACCATAACACACAACGATCTACCGCAACACAAAACGATCTACCGTAACACACAACGATCTACCTTAACACACAACGATCTACCGTAACACACAACGATCTACCGTAACACACAACGATCTACAGTAACACACAACGATCTACCATAACACACAACGATCTACCATAACACACAACGATCTACCGTAACACACAACGATCTACCACAACACACAACGATCTACCACAACACACAACGATCTACCGTAACACACAACGATCTACCGTAACACACAACGATCTACCGTAACACACAACGATCTACTGTAACACACAACGATCTACCATAGCACACAACGATCTACCTTAAAACACAACGATCTACCATAGCACACAACGATCTACCATAGCACACAACGATCTACCATAACACACAACGATCTACCATAACACACAACGATCTACCATAGCACACAACGATCTACCATAGCACACAACGATCTACCATAGCACACAACGATCTACCATAACACACAACGATCTACCATAGCACACAACGATCTACCTTAACACACAACAATCTACCATAACACACAACGATCTACCATAACACACAATGATCTACCATAACACACAACGATCTACCATAACACACAACGATCTACCGTAACACACAACGATCTACCGTAACACACAACGATCTACCGTAACACACGACGATCTACCGTAACACACAACAATCTACCTTAACACACAACGATCTACCGTAGCACACTACGATCTACAGTAACACACAACGATCTACCGTAGCACACTACGATCTACAGTAACACACAACGATCTACCATAACACAAACGATCTACCGTAACACACGACGATCTACCGTAACACACAACGATCTACCGTAACACACAACAATCTACCTTAACACACAACGATCTACCGTAGCACACTACGATCTACAGTAACACACAACGATCTACCGTAACACACAACGATCTACCGCAACACACAACAATCTACAGTAACACACAACGATCTACCATAGCACACAACGATCTACCATAGCACACAACGATCTACCATAACACACAACGATCTACCATAGCACACAACGATCTACCATAACACACAACGATCTACCATAACACACAACGATCTACCATAGCACACAACGATCTACCATAACACACAACGATCTACCAGAGCACACAACGATCTACCTTAACACACAACAATCTACCATAGCACACAACGATCTACCGTAACACACAACGATCTACAGTAACACACAATGATCTACCATAGCACACAACGATCTACCATAACACACAACGATCTACCGTAACACACAACGATCTACCGTAACACACAACGATCTACCTCAACACACAACGATCTACCGTAACACACAACGATCTACCGTAACACACAACGATCTACCGTAACACACAACGATCTACCTTAACACACAACGATCTACTGTAACACACAACGATCTACCATAACACACAACGATCTACCTTAACACACAACGATCTACCATAACACACAACGATCTACCATAACACACAACGATCTACCATAACACACAACGATCTACCATAACACACAACGATCTACCATAACACACAACGATCTACCATAGCACACAACGATCTACCATAGCACACAACGATCTACCATAGCACACAACGATCTACCATAGCACACAACGATCTACCATAGCACACAACGCTCTACAGTAACACACAACGATCTACCGTAACACACAACGATCTACCGCAACACAACAATCTACAGTAACACACAACGATCTACCATAGCACACAACGATCTACCATAGCACACAACGATCTACCATAACACACAACGATCTACCATAGCACACAACGATCTACCATAACACACAACGATCTACCATAGCACACAACGATCTACCATAACACACAACGATCTACCAGAGCACACAACGATCTACCTTAACACACAACAATCTACCATAGCACACAACGATCTACCGTAACACACAACAATCTACCGTAACACACAACGATCTACCGTAACACACAACGATCTACCGTAGCACACAACGATCTACAGTAACACACAATGATCTACCGTAACACACAACGATCTACCGCAACACACAACGATCTACCGCAACACACAACGATCTACCACAACACACAACGATCTACCTTAACACAACAATCTACCATAACACACAACGATCTACAGTAACACACAACGATCTACAGTAACACACAACGATCTACCATAACACACAACGATCTACCATAGCATACAACGATCTACCATAGCACACAACGATCTACCATAACACACAATGATCTACCTTAACACAACAATCTACCGCAACACACAACGATCTACCACAACACACAACGATCTACCTTAACACAACAATCTACCATAACACACAACGATCTACAGTAACACACAACGATCTACCATAACACACAACGATCTACCATAGCATACAACGATCTACCATAGCACACAACGATCTACCATAACACACAACGATCTACCATAACACACAACGATCTACCTTAACACAACAATCTACCATAACACACAACGATCTACAGTAACACACAACGATCTACCTTAGCACACAACGATCTACCATAACACACAACGATCTACCATAGCACACAACGATCTACCATAACACACAACGATCTACCATAGCACACAACAATCTACCATAACATACAACGATCTACCATAGCACACAACGATCTACCATAACACACAACGATCTACCGTAACACACAAGGGACAATCTTAGAACGAAGAACGTTCTAAGATTGTCGTTCGGGGTAAAAAATCCTGTAGTTTGAACTTTTGCATCAGGCAGTCGGATTCTTCTATGTTTAAATCTAATTATTACTGAAGGATAATAAACTATACAGACTTCATAATCTGCACTCTTTTGGTTGAATTCAGTGTTTATTTCCACTTTGGCTTTATGTTGTTTAGTTTTCATTCAAGTGCATTTATTCTTAATGGAGACTAAGAATTTTTATTTTATTTTTGGTTTTGGTTGTTTTATTTATTTTGTGTATCAGTCCCAGTGTTAATTGTCTTTTGAAAGTAAAGTGTATCTATCTTTAGCAGGAAATCGCATGTATTATTACGTAATTTCCATTAAATCAATGTAAAAAGGTCTTCAAACAATATTATCGTTTATCGCAATCATTTTTTAGACAATTTATCACCCAGCAAAATCTGTTATCGTGACAGACCTACCCAGAACTCTATGATTGTTGATGGAAACACAGCTGGAGGGGAAAACAAGATGGTTGATCTGCTATTGAAGTGACAGGAGAGCTGGGTCCGACTTGAACTGGTTCCAGTTTGGTTCCAGTTGGACCAGAACTGGAACAGTCCAGAACTGAACTGGACTGTTCTGAAGAGTCCAGAATAGTTCAGAACTGTTCCGGATTGGTTCCAGTCTGACATAAAGAACAAGAGTTGCTGCCATAACTGCGGTTCTGTGAATCTTGGATGACTGCCAGAGTCAGTCTTCAAGCACTGAGCAGGTGGAGAGTCAATCACAACAGTCACCTGTGATAACTCACGTGACTCTATATAGTCACATGACACCCCGCACTCAATCCCGCAACCTTCTCACAAAAAGCAGGGGTTCTGAGGGATCAAGCCCTCTGGGGGTCATCATAGAACCGCATGTTATCTCGACTGACCACATGCATGGCCCTGCCGTCTATGAAAAGCCTTGGTGTGTGACCAACAGGCATGCAGTTTGGTACATCATCCTCAACTAAAGCATCCACAGATCTACTGCGCCTAGAGAAGGTGCTAGAAGCCGCAGACCGGGCCTGAGGAACACCAATCCGAGAGGCCCTGGCAAATTAACGCCAACAGTACAGTAAACATACCAGTCATTGCAGCAATAACTGCAGATCTGGTAAAAAGGTGAAAAATAGCTTGTGCAGTTCCAGGAGGGCGAGGCTTACCCACAGCTCTGACCAAACACGGTCACAAAGCAACGAGCAGATGAGAGGAGAGGAGAGGAGAGGATAATGAAGAGCTTCACACAGCCACACTGCACTCAACACACAAGACGAATAAAGGGATTGTGCGCAGGTCACAGGTGATTGTAAGGTCACCTGTGTCACCTGGCAGGTTACAGGTGATTTTGTTGTGGTCAACACTCAACCTGCTCATGCTCAAGGATCATCAGTGGTTCTGGCTCTGGCTCTGGGTCTGGTTCTGGTTCCAAGCATGAAAAAGCGGCATTCAGCTTTTATGAACACAAATCTGGACAAACTTCTAGAAAAGTGGACAACAGCCGAAACACTGAGTTCCTGAAACTGCAGACGAAGCGCAGCTGTTCCCGCTGCTCGTTTGAACATTGAGCAACACGTTTGATGATGGTTTTGATGATGTCATATCCTGTGCCGTTGTAGACTTCAGATTTATCATTTCCATTATTTGCTCCCAGCCCAGTTTATTCTTTCAGTTTGTGCAGTATGTGAGTTAAATACCCTGAGAAAGAAGCTTCTGCAATAGAAAGAAACAAGAATAGGACAAGCGGTCCCACCAAGCCAAAATCACAAGGGCTTAGAGAAACTAGCGCATGGTGGGCCGGAGGCGTCGGCTGTGGCCCACAGCCACTGGTTTCGGTGGCACAGCGGCAGAACGCATCCCTGTGGCGGTGGAGCAAGCGGAAGGGCGAGTCGACACGCATCACACACGTCAAAATTCAGCCTATTGCTTGGCTGACAGCAGCTCAATCAAATCCATCGTCAAAATAAGAAATGTTCCAAACTCCAAAAAAACAGAAAAAAATAATTTAGACTTAGACTTAGACTTAGACTTGACTTTATTGATCCCTTGGGAAGACTCCCTCAGGAAATTATAGACTAAAGTCTAGAAACTAAACAATCAGGAAAAATAGACAAAATAATTATAATGTGCCCAAAGCACATAACAGTTGTTTCATAATGGATTATTCTGGTTTTTTTGGTGTAAAGCAGTTGGAGCCGCCTTGCTGTCCACTAATAAATACCTGTTGTCCCACTGTCTGTCTGTCCCCAGCTGGGCCGTCTGGAGAGTCTCTGCGCCTACTGGAACGTCAACAGTCCCATGTACTACCAGAACTCTTGGCAGGACCTTGTGGTCAGTCCGCTCCTGCATGACCTGTCGATCTGACGAAGCTCGTTTCTGATTGGACCCAGAGCGTCTGGGCCCTCGGTTCATCCTGCTCTTCTTTGCAGGACCGGTTGAGGTCAGAGATCAGGAGCAAAGACCAGCAACTGCCTCACTATCAGGACAGTGAGTTCAGAGCTTTGATTGATAAATGTTGACTCTTTGTGATTTCAGCTGGTGGCTTATAACCTTTGAACCCTAAACTAAGGGTTTGTTTCAAGTGTCTCCCTGGTTGAATCTATTGACCTGCAGCTTTAGCTTCTAAATGTGTTGATGAACAACCTGAGTGGAAATCTTTCACTCCATCTCCATGGAAATGCTTAAAGTGACCCCATGGGTAAGGGGTCAGATTTAGGACCAAGGTTAGGATAAGGGAAAGGTTTGGCCTGTAGAAATGAATGGAAGTTTTAAGGAAATAAATAAGTCTTACCTAAGGTGAAACACTGAGTCAATCAAGAATGAATCATTTTGATGATTATTTTACGGAGAAATTAAGCAAAGAATAGAGCAATGACTTCCTGGCGAGTCCAGGGAAGTGAAGACGAGGTGAAAGTACGCTGCTTACAGAGATTGGACAAAAAGGGAGAATCCCTGCAGTTTCAGCTCTGGTGTTTGACCTGCAGACTGAGACCATGGACGGTTCAAACCAGGTCAGAAATACCCTTTATTATGCTGCCTCCAACATGAAGGTGCTTCATAGCTAAAATTGATTGCTAGATTGATTGAAATAAAACCAAGTTTGAAATAACAGATCAATGGAAAGTCCCTACAAAGATAGCAATGAAGACGTGTGTGTGAATAAGTCTTCTTAGTTTCAGCTGATTTGAATTCAGTTTCAGAATTTCTTTACGACGTATTAGAATAAGACTTTTGCTTTTCAGGCAATCAGAACTCCAGATTGACTTGGTTCATTTAAAATCCATTAAGCAAAAAAATCACAATGGATCATAAAGGCTCATATTGCATCATAGTGGGTCACAGTGGATCACAGTCTTTCTGCTTTATAACAATGAATGAGAGTGTGACCGTCATTTCATGAGGGGTTGATGATAAGTCTTGTCAGAGGAGATGTTGGGGATCTTTTGGGGATCTTTTGGGGATCTGTCAAGTCCCTGACGGTCGGAGCTTCTGGTCTCTCTTCTTCTCTGTCTAGTCTTCAAGCCGATCTTCGCTTCGGCTAAAATGTGCATCAACCCGAATGCAGAGGCAGACCTGAAGTCTCCGAAGGTAAAGCTGCAGCTGGAGGTCCAGAGCATTGGCATCGAGATGACCAAACCTCAGGTGAGGCAAGACACCGCCTGCTGAATGGATAAGGTGGAGCTAGGTGAGACTACCTTTACCTGTCTGTCCTCCACAGTACCTGAGCATGGTGGAGGTACTGGAGTCCATTGATCTAATGGCAAAGAGCACCCTTTACAGGAAGTTCAGGCCAGATGTTCCTGTCAGTAAGAACGCTAAAGTCTGGTAGGTTTGCTGTCCTGCTCCATAAGCACAGACCCAGATAAAACCAGGACCAGACCGGTTACATTGTGGTCTCCTGCAACCTTCAGGTGGAAATACGCTTTCAACAGCATCATGGAGGTCCACATTCGACGCCTCAGCCACATGTGGTCCTGGTCCAAGATTCAGCAGCACCGGGAGAGCCTTAAGGTCTACAAGGCTGCCTACAAGAGCAAGCTGCTGAGCCAGAACAAGCCAGCGCCAGACACTGAGAAGCAGATCCAGGTGAGGAAACAGTAAGCCAGGCTTGGCGATGTGACTCACATTGCTAAGCAACCAAACATCCCATAACACCTGGATATATGCTATATGTATGATTCTGGTTGATGAATCCACTGCAGCCCTCTGATATTGGGTTAAATGTCTGAGAGGAAACTTCCCCTCCATCCGTCCCATCTGAACTGAGTTCAGCTGCTTGAGTTTCCTGAAGCAGAAATGGAAACTTGAGTTCGGACGTTCAGGAAGTCCATCCCGACGTCTCTTACTCTGTTTGTTTCTCTTCTCATGAAATGATTTCTTACTTTTATTGGATAAACCTAGATGTGGGCCAACGCTTCCTGAAATGTTCTGTATCAATGTTTTTAGGGTTATTTGTCATACTTTCAGCCTTTACTCTAAAGCCTAATGTTTTTTATCAAAATCTTTTTTAACTAATATTTGCATTGTATTAAATTGTTTGATGTTCTTCTGTTTGCTGATGATACTGATGTTTTATCATCTTTTCATCTGAACTGACTTATGAGACTAAAAATATGGTCTTTTTTTAAAAAAAAAAAAAGGGTTTATCCATGAAATATTCTGTTAGTAAATACAAACTTAATTAAAAATTTTGAAATCAAAAACTTTTGCAAACAAAGTTATTAGGATGATTACTGAATGTAACCTGAGCTGGCAATCATATACATTAAAAAATAATTTTATTTTTGGCAATGATATCAAATATAGCTCCACATATTATGTTAATGTAATATAATATTGAGAAATAGCTCAGAAATGAACTGAAATCCAGTTAAATGTTCATAGAAATTTAGTGTTTCTGACACTAAAATGATAAAAATGCTCATTTTTTCTGAATTTGTGTAGTTGCATGTTAGAGGTTACAAATTAAATGTTTGCAAATGACACTAAATAAATTTGAAACTAGAATAAACTAAATGCTTGGAACTATTTGTAAAAAACTGTTTTACTTCCAGAGTTAATATTTAGTTCTTATCTGCAGATTTTCACCAGACTCTTTTAATTGGTCCGTTCCATGAATTAAGTTTTATTTGTAAAGGATCAAGTCACAACAAAAGTAATCTTGATGCTCTTTACCAAAAATCCCTTCAATTCCAGCATCCATTCCAATTGATCCTAGTCATGAAACAGATTATTTGTTCAAAGTGATTTAAAAAGGTTGCAAGTTATTGTCTGGGAATATTTACTTCTCCTGGGCCAGCAGGGGGCGACAGTCTCCTGTGTTGATTCATTGACTTCACTGCCATCCCTCTCTCTGATATTCAAAAGAAATGAAGCCATTAAAAATGAAATGGTCCCAAATGACACAGGATATGATTGAAATGAGAGAAAATTTAAATGATTAATAATTAGATCTGCTGAATCTTATAATGGATAAAAGGAAGCTGAAATAATAATGAGTAAAACTAGCAATAAAAGACACTGACTGAAGCTGGTCTCTGCTGTGCTTCAGGACCTGGAGAAAATCCTGGACGTGTTCAACATCACTCTGGCCCGTCAGCAAGCCCAGATGGAGGTGATCTTGTAAAATGAAGGTGATGATGTGTGTTCTCACAGGCCCCACTTAATTTCAGGGTTCTGCTCCTGCAGGTGGTCCGGTCGGGCCAGAAGCTGGCTGGGAAGAAAGCCGGAGGCCAGAAACAAGGAGGAGGCTTTTTCAGTGGCTGGTTTGGGAAAAAGGCTAAGAAGGAGGAGCAGGAGGAAGACAAGGAGCCTGAGAGTAAGAGCTGATCTGGACCTTCTGGAGAGACCCAACATTTGGTTCTGAACCGGCAAGTTCTGTTTCAGCTTCGGGTTTGGACCAGCTGATGACAGCAGAAGAGAAGGAAAAACTCTACACAGCTATTGGCTACAGCGGCAGCTCACACAACCTGGCTTTACCCAAACAGGTAGACTCTCTGACGGGTAGAGACTCTGACGGGTAGAGACTCTGACGGTTAGAGACTCTGACGGGTAGAGACTCTGACGGGTAGAGACTCTGACGGGTAGAGACTCTGACGGGTAGAGACTCTGACGGGTAGAGACTCTGACGGTTAGAGACTCTGACGGTTAGAGACTCTGACGGGTAGAGACTCTAGAGAGACTGTTTGAAAAATGTCGACGTTCATGACAGGACACATTGAGGAATCTTGTATCATCGTTGAAAGAGAAAGCTTCATCTTTTGCGGTAGATTGAAAATAGCCGTCGGATTGAGTTTAACAAAGCTGCTTCTTGGTGGACGACAAGACTTGTGGGTCAATGTCCTATGGACAGATCAGAACAAATTAGAAATCTTGAGGTATCCAGAAAGCAGGTCAACAGAAACTCCTCATGGTCTGATGCATGGTGGTGGAGAAGTGATGGCTGTCTCTGAGCTGACCAGGACTTCCACTCTGGACCCAAAGTTTTCTAGAGTCCAGTGTGAGTCCATCTGCCAGCAGCTGAAGCTTGGTCCAAACTGCATCCTGAAGAGAACCGGGATCCAAATATATAAGCAGATCTAGAACACAATGGCTGAAAGAGAATAGAATCATGGTGTTACAGTAGCCTAGTCAAAGCCCAGACCTCATCCTCAGGGATCAGAACCTTAATGAAGTGAAACGTTGTCCTAAGATGGCCCAGTAACCCAGCCTTCTGTGTTTCAGTACGTCGGTGCCATTATCACCTTCCAGCTGCTCAAAACATCAGTGACCATCAGAGAGCAGCGCGACGTCCCGGAGATCCTCAACATCCAGATGGTCAACCTGAGCACCAAGATATCCCAGAGACCCGGCGCGCAGGCGGTCAGGTAGGAGCGTTTCCTGTGGAACCCGCTGGCCCGCCTCACCCCTAACCCCTAACCCTATCTCACACCAGTTGCTTCCTCCTGCAGGGTGGAGGTGGCGCTGGAGCACTGGTACGTCACAGGGCTGCAGCAGCGGGGCGCTGTCCCCTCACTCATCGCCTCCGTGGGCGATTCTTCATCATCGCTTCTCAACGTGGTGTTTGAGTTGAACCCTGAGGAGAGTTCTGGAGACCAGCTGCTGAAGATCCACTCCCAGCCAGTGGAGATCATCTACGACGCGGTAAGCTGACTATTATCAATCACTCAATCAAATGCTGCACATTTCAGCAGCAAGGCATTTCACAGTGCTTTACATCATAACAAACATAACAAAGTCATGCAGCATAGAGTCAACAATCTTACATGAAATTCATTACTGATTATGTTTCAAATAAAACTCCAGCAGCTGGTTTTAGTCTGGATTTAAAGGATCTCAGTGTTTCAGCTATTTTACAGTTTTCTGGAAGTTTGTTCCAGATTTGTGGTCCATAGAAGCTGAATGTTGTTTCTCCTGATTTGGTTCTGATTCTGATGCAGAGGAGAACCAGAACCAGAACCTGATGGGTCTGGAAGGTTGATACAGCAGCAGGTTTTTAATGAGTCACTCAGTGATTTATAAACTAACAGTATTTAAAGTCTAGTCTCTGAGCTGCAGGGAGCCAGTGAGGGACTGTAGAACCAGGTCCATGTGCTCCATCCTCCTGGTTCTGGTTCTGGTCAGAACTCCAGCAGCAGCTGCAGGATTGATGTGTTGGACAGACCCTGCTGCGGGAATCGATGCCACTGAAGATGAACCAGTGTGTCTCTGAGACATCAGACCTCCAGACGCTCTGCAGGTGACAGAAGACCGACTTTGTGACTGTCTTTATGTGACTCTGGAGGGTCAGAGGTCAGGGGTCATCAAAACACCCATGGGTCAGGCTGATCGCTAATTTTAGTTGAAATAACTGAAGCTGTGCACGTTCTCTAGATCTATAACTCTAGATATATGACTCTAGATCAGGGATGTGAAACTCCAGTCCTGGAGGTTTTAGATGAGCCACACGTACAAAACGATGAATGGCAGAGTTCTGTGATTAACAAGGTCACTGCAACTCTGGGAGCCTAGGGGGCGCTGCTGAGGCAAATCTGAATATTAGTCTCACCTTTGTTGGCACCCATCAGGAAACGGGACTGTTTGCATCAAGTCACATTTCAGTGCCAAATCATTTTCTTAATCTGTGAAGGCCACATGAAAAATGCATATTAAGGTCTAAATACTTTCAACATTTTCTAATGAGAGCTGTTACATTGACGACAGCTCAGAGTTTCCCCATCTTCACCAGGTTCACTGTTGGTTTTTGGGTTATTTGTCATACTCCACCCTGCAGGAGGAAGGATTTCAGTGATACTTGACGTTCACATAATCAGAACCTCCAGTATTTTGTCAGCTTTTTATTCCTGAGTTGGAAAACTAGAGCAGAGGAAGATCATCAGTAGGTCAGAAGAGTGTTTTCACTTTCCTGGACCCAGCTGGCCATCAGCTCTGTGGTTCTGCCACCTCAGCCGTCTGTAGGCTGGAGAAACGGTCCGACACCAGCCCTCTGAGGTCTCTTTCCCGGCTTTCAGGTCCATTTAGAACCAGGCGACGGTTCTAAATGGACCTGATCCCCACACTGCAGAGATCAGGGTGCTGGGTGGGGCTGTTGTCCTGGGTTTGTTTCCCGGTCTAGGCTCTAGTGGTCAATTAAGAGCACTAAAAATGGATTCAACAGGGAGATCCAGTTTCTCTTCAGTGGCGTCAGAACCTGCCTGGAGTCCTCAGAAGATTCATTCCAGCCAAACTCGGGCAGACTTGGGCCAGTCAGCCAGTTACAAGAGAACAAACTGTCCTCCTTTCATTGAATATAATTATGGCAGTTCAGAACCTTTTAGCAGAACTCTTCAGGGTTTTTCGATTGCTGCTGCTTGAAGGGACCTGGAGGAGAGTAGATTCTGAGGGTGAAAGGTCAAGTCTGTGTCCAATGCTTCGGAGCCAGCTCTTCCACGTTGGCCTGCTTCTCCTTGTTATAACAAAGTGAGGAAAAACTTTCAGAAACCATAAGAAACAATCTTAATCAGTATTTATTCAAATGTTTTTCAGTGTTGGAAGGGCATACACGTCTTCTTTTATAGGGGAAATTGAACATTCAAGGACGTCATGAGGTGCAAACTAAGAAACAATTGGAAAATTTCATAGTAATACAGAGGCCAGAGAAACGGCTTCAGAACACATGCATTACATATTATACTGTCATGCATTGTTTTGCTCATAATCATAGAAACCTTCACATTTTCCACGACATCCTCCAGGTGACTGTCAACAGCATGGTGGACTTCTTCAAGACGGGGAAAGGCGTAGACCTGGAGGTCCTGACGTCGGCCACGCTGTCCAAACTGGAGGAGATCAAAGAGAAGACCGCTGCAGGTGAGACCAGCAGCAAGACGCTGGATCAGAGCGGCGGAGCCCACAGTCAGTCAGTCTGTGCCCACAGTCAGTCTGTCTGTGCCCACAGTCAGTCTGTCTGTGCCCACAGTCAGTCTGTCTGTGCCCACAGTCAGTCTGTCTGTGCTTGGTTCTGGTCTTTGCAGGTTTGTCTCACATCATTGAAACGCGGAAGGTCCTGGATCTGAAGATCGACCTGAAGCCGTCCTACCTGATCGTACCAAAGTCCGGCTTTTACAGCAGCGAGTCAGACCTGCTGATTGTGGACTTTGGTAGCTTCCAGGTCAGCTTCGTTTCCCTCTGAATTTGGTGAAATGTCTCCGTGTTTCCTGAGTTTTAAACGTCTTCAGTCAGAGTTCAAGGCTGTTTGGTCCAAACCCAACGCTCCATTCTTGCCGCTTTAACCCGGGTTGTTTTGCAGCTGTACAGCGTGGACCAGGGCAGTCGGGGTTCATCGTCCTCCTCGTCTCTGGAGGAGATCATGGATCGAGCCTACGAGCGGTACGACGTGGGGCTGAGGAAGGTCCAGCTGCTCTACAGCAAGTCAGGTCAGAGGTCACACACACAGCAGGTCAGCTTTAGATTCAGTCGATGCAGATGATCTGAGGCAGCAAACCGCTTTCAGGAGAGGCTTGGAAGACGGCGCGGCTGCAGAGTTCCTCGGCGCAGCACGTCCTGCGGCCCATGGACCTCACGCTCCACCTGGCCAAGTGCATGGTGGAAAAGGACGTCCGCATGCCCAGGTACGACCCCTGACCCCGCCTCGCTGCCTGGCTCCGACGCTGAAGCCGTTTCCTGTGCGCAGGTTCAAGGTGTCTGGCGAGCTGCCGCTCATGCATGTCAGAATCTCAGACCGGAAGATCCAGAACGTCCTGGATCTGGTGGAGAGCGTCCCGCTGCCCACGGCCGGCTCTGCTCCTCCCACCCCCGCTGAGAAGGTCAGCTGTCCTAGTCCAATCCCTGAACCCCCAGTGCATCATTCACTGCAGCTGTTTGTGAAACTGTGATTTATAAAAGAATTAACATAAAAACTGAATGAAAAGAAAGATTTTAGATGAGAAAAAACAGGAAAGCTGTTCAATTATGTGACACAAAACTGAACAAACATCTAAAGTAGCTTCTGATTGAGACGTCTCAGGTGTTGCCGTTGGCTGTGACGCATCCTCTGGCTCAGAGTCTCGGCCCCTCCTTCTTGGACGCCTTCGACACAGGTGAGCTGCAGCTTCACTCCGACCCTGGACCTGGACAGGACGCCGTCTCACCGTCTCACCGTCTCTCCGTCTCTCCGTCCTCCAGACTCTGAAGAAGACGGCGGTGAGAAGCTGACGGATCTCCAGCGGTCGGCTGAGGAAGAACTCGTCAACGTTCACTTCAATTTCGAGCTCAGAGAGGTCGGCCGGTGCCGCTGGGCCGAGGTGGCGGATGGGATCGGCGTGGTGTGACCTCTGACCTCGTGTCTTCAGGTTCTGCTGGAGCTGACCCGGCAGGAGGACCAGGAGAAGACGGTTCTGTCCTTCAATGTGTCCCAGCTCGGAGCTGAGGGGAAAATGCGAAGCTTGGATCGGAGCGTCACCGCGTACCTGCGGCGCTTTGCCGTTGACTACCGTGACGTTCCAGGTGAGCTGCTGCCTGCCGACGCAGTTCTGGCAGGTTCTGAAAGGTTCTAACTGGTTCCGGCTGGTTCTGGCTGGTTTCAGCTGATTCTGGCTGGTTCCAGCTGGTTCTAGCTGGTTCCGGCTGGTTCTAGCTGGTTCCGGCTGGTTCTAGCTGGTTCCGGCTGGTTCTAGCTGGTTTCAGCTGGTTCCGGCTGGTTCTACCTGGTTCCGGCTGGTTCTAGCTGGTTCCGGCTGGTTCTAGCTGGTTCCGGCTGGTTTCAGCTGGTTTCGGCTGGTTCTAGCTGGTTCCGGCTGGTTTCAGCTGGTTCTGGCTGGTTCTAGCTGGTTCCGGCTGGTTCTAGCTGGTTCCGGCTGGTTCTACCTGGTTCCGGCTGGTTCTAGCTGGTTCTGGTTCTTACTGACTAAATGCAACAAAAGTTTAGATTTTTTTGGCACATTGAATAAAACTTTTCACCCTTTGTGCCTGAAGTGAAGTTGGAGCCGAAGTATCAACGCAGAGAAAATAAAGTTCCTCTCAGTTTGGAACAAAAACAAAGTCTTGCTTTTGGCCGACCCGATTGGTTCTGCGGCCGGTTGGGAACAAGACCTCTGTGTATGGTTCTCTAAACATCATGAAGCTGTTTGTTCTGGAGGTTCTTCCAACACTAAAGCCAGATGATATCTGACACACCTGGCTGTGACCTTTGACCTCACCCTCTGCGGCTCAGTTAAGAGGGTGAGGTCTCTTAACCTGAACCGTCAAGAGTCTCAACGTTCAGATGTGAGACTCATGTCTGGAGATGCTGACCTTCCTCAGACTCCGAGGTCTTCATCACCTGCTGCCCCAGAAGAGTCCGGGTCCAAAACCGGATCTTTGGCTCTGGGCTCTTGTGAAGCCGTTCACTGTCTCATCGTTGGTTGTTTGACTTTTCAGGGGGCAGCGCTCCGCTCCACCTCATCAGCTCCTCCCAACAGCAGGACTCCAACCTGCTGAAGGTGGAGTTCATCAAGGTGAGCTGACTGTGGGAGGAGCTAACGGCTCGTGGGGGGCTAACAGCTAAGTGAGAGGGGCTAACACTCAGTGTCGCTGCAGGTCGACCCCAATGGTCCCAGTTTCCAGTCTCTGTTCAACAACACGGAGCAGACGCTGAAGGTGGGTTTAGTGCTTCATGGGTTCCAGGCAGGTTCCGGTCGGTGTACAGCTGTTACAGGTGGTTCTGCTGT